CCTCTTTCCTACTAGCAGATGTTCTGCCCAAAACTCCTACATCGTAGGAACTTTAATCATACACACCTTTACCCCTCTAATGGGTCTGTTTGAATCTCAAAAATGGATTCAACTCAAATCAGCTGGAAGGGAGGGAGAAATAGGGCAAAATATAGACATACAGATAAAATGATGGCACAAGACTGCCTTGTTTAGCAAACTAAGAGAGAAATAATGAAATGTTACCAGTTTTTTATGTTGCTTTTGTTGGTTTGTTTTTTTTTATTGCTGGTTCTGCTTGTGTTCAGTGTTTCTTGAAGTCTTAGCTGCTGGCATTTAGAGATTATATGCTTGCAAAAAATCATCTTTCGTTTAAAAAAAAGTCTGTTTTCAGACCTCTTGAGTTTTAGAAGGCTGGCATGAGAATGAATTAGGTGTACTCTAAAGGCATGAAATTAAAGGAAAATGAAAAAAAAAAGTCTTTAAGGAATATTTGCTACTTGAAAGCATTTGATGGGTGCTTGGCTTATGGCTTTTAGTCACTGGAGGCTGTTAATACAATGGATATTTTTCCATGTATTACCTTTGCTGAAAAATCTGTGTATTTTCTAGTATGTCCATTATGCTTAATCTTTTTTTTGAATTAGAAATTGATATACCAAAAAGTGCATCAGTGCAAGCCTCAAAAAGCATTCATTACACTTTGATGTTGAGGGAATTCAGGTCTTCGTCTCATTTTTATTTGGTGTGGTGAATAATGCAACTGCTTTGTCCTAGTAGTATTCCGGCCTATGACCTAGCTTTTCAGGTCAGGTCAGCTCAGCTCTGTTTTGAGTCCTCGTTTCTGAGGAATAGGTAAGTCTTAGATGTTTTTTTCCTCTCTGTTAGCTCAAATAAACTCTTGTCCATACTGCAGAAATTATTGCAGTGATAACTCAGAAAATGAAAAAGCTTTTCCTGAAGCTAAAAGTATTGCTGTTATTTTAGCTGATGATGACATCTCCCTGTTTGCCCTCCACTCCCCTGCAACTGGTTTCCCTTTCAGTAGTGAAAGGTAGATGTTTCCTGTCAGCACAGTGTGTTAGTCACCACCATCCCACTTTCTGAAGTTTTCTCAACCTGTGTGCGCTTCCTCTGATGCTTTAGATCTCCAGGGTTGCGATATTGCCATCTTCTACTGCCTCACTCACGCACTGATGGTTATGAAAAATGGGTAACTTGTGTTTTTAGCATGCCATCTGTCTACTTCCTGCTGTGCAGTTCTGTACACAAATACCTCTGTATTTGTGCTTTTCTTTCATGCTACATAAAGTTATCCATGTATTTACTTTAGAAACTTCACGGCAAGGTCTACATTTTTATTCTTTACTATGTACAAACTTAGTGTAGGTTATTTCAGTATGGCTTTGAGGTCTTACAGAAATAAATGATTTTTGGTTAGTTATTCTGATGCTCGCTTTTCTATGAAAAATGTACCGGTGGATGAATGAAAATTTTTTTTCTGAAGGTTCAGATCATTATATGAAACAAAAGTAAGATATGATATAAAATAATTGGAAGACACCTCAGTGATGTTTATTTGTTTCTGAGGCTCAAAGCCCTCTCCCTCCTAATGAGAAACACTATTTAAGACTTCAAGAACTTAATAACTGTAAATGCAATCAATCCCAGCATTAAAGGTGACATTTATTGTATTGTCAGCTTAAAATGCATATTTAGCATATGATCATTTATATCAAATACAGCTTGCTGTTGCCAGGAAGAAGAATAACTGCTTGAACAGGAAATAAGAACTGTTGATTGATAATAGGAGGACATTGTCAGGACTGTTTTGTCCATATGTATATGTATATATTTTTTTTGCAATAATATTTTTGAATGCTCTGCGAATAAGTATTTGTTTCTTAACGCCGTAATTTTCTTTTATGGAAAAAAAGAGTAATTTCTAAATTCTTTATTTATTTCAGTTGAAATTTGGTTTTAATTTTCATAGCTATAAGATCTCTGTGAAATGCAAAATATGCCCCCAAAATGAGTCAATATTTAGTTAGCCTTTCAAAACTATTCTTTTGGTATCATCTCTGTGTTAGATTGTTTGGAAGATAAGTACTGAGTTTTACTATTTTATTAATTTGACCAGGATCTGCAATTTACTCGAATTGTAGAGTTTTATAGAGAGTTTAGAGGTAGGTTGGTTATAGACCAGTGTGGTGATAATCTGAAGCAGTAGCTCTTTCTGAAACAGCATGTGTTTACTGATACTTTGTGAAAGAAAAGAAAAAACACACTTGCAGAATTCCCTTTTTTACTCCCCCTGCCCCGTCTCCAACAAATCAGAGAAATCTTAAAGGTTGGTATAGTTTTTTTTATTCGGAACAGTGAGGAGAAAAGAAACCAAGGAGTGTGTCAGTGTATGGCTTGTAATTGGGACAGTAAATACAAAGAAGTTAACAGTAAAGTGTCTGACAATCAATGCTAAATTGGACAACAAGCTTCAATGAGGAACTTTGGATTATGAAGTGATTCTGTCACTATTTGTGTTCTTTTTTTTTTTTCTTACATCTTTTCCATGCTAACTCATTTAGGTAACTTCTCTGAGTTCCCAGTTAGCAGCCAGTGTTGGACTGAAGCATTTCTCAGAAAAAGTCAGTGATTGTTGTCTGTGACAAGAGGAGTGGGGGAAGTGGAGCATTGAAAAAGGAGGCCTGAATTCCTTTAATAAAGAAGACACTTGTTTATTTTCTGATTGATTTCCATAAACTTTGGCTTTCACTGTAAGGCCCAGACTGGGCACTTCTCATTGCCACTGGTATCAAATTCCGGTTAGGGATCTTGGTCTGAGAAAAGTATCCAGGACTTCAATGAGTTAGAGGCAAATGGGCGTAGCTCAAAAGGCATTGACCTTGCCAACACATGTCAGAATAAAAGGAAAAAGAGCATTGTAAATTCCGTCTTTCTCATGTCCTGTCTTCTTGGTTCATCTAGAGCTAGAGTTAGCTTTTCATGATTAAATCATGCTTCCATGAGTGCCAGTCTGGTCCTGCTACTAACAGTGCGTTGCCTGGGGTGTAGACTCACAATTGAGTTAGCAGAAACAATGCTGTCACCTTGCAGTATGATACTTGCTAACGTGCCATAATTGCTAATCTGCAGTTGTTTACTGCTCTAGTTACAGAAGCGTTCTTCTTTGTCTGAATCAGTGAGTTACTATTGAAGGATGTTATGAAAGTAAACGTACTGCTTTCTCGTTGACCTCTGCACCTTACTGTTCTCCAGTGAAAGTTTCTGTTCTCTATTTGTTGTTTGGTGGCTCTTCCTAAGCTCTCCCAACCATGAAGCTCAGTGGGCTCCTGTGGGTGGATGTTCATTTCTTTTGCCTCCAAGTGGCTTTTCCACAAATCCTAGAGCAGTCTCAGGTGACCTTCAAAATCCATGACATCTCTCCATCGACAGTCTCATTGGAGAGTGCATCCAAAAAGCTGCCACTTAAAGGATTGGTACAGTCGCTTGTGCAACATTAATTTATCCTCGTTGTGCTTATGCAAATTGGAACATTGTAATGCTGCAATCTGGCACCATCTTTTTCTGTAGAACCCCTGCCTCCTGCAGTGCATGGTGCTCTGGGAAGGAGTGGCCTTACTTCCAAAATTGAATGCAGAGCTGTTGAATTTCCAGTGGTCTTTCTGTATGATTCATTTGTAATAAAGTAAGGGAATGCAGATTAAAAAAGAGTGCAAGTAGGAGTAATATAAAGGAGAACAAAGTGAGCTGGCCAAACTGAGAAAAGCAGAACTTCTGTGAAATAATGTCAAGATTTGCCAGCCTTCACAGAATTAGTTCACAAGATTTGAAACCAGCTTACTGTGTTTGATTTTGGTGTGACTCTTGTATCTGCATCTGTTTCTGGGAGTAGATTTATGAGTTTTCATAAAATAGAAATAGATTACTTCCATGATGCACAATCATACCATTTCTCATTTTGCTCTCTTTTTTAAAACAGCAGGATAGAAATTTAAATCCTAGGTCATTTGCAGAGTACTATTTTTTTATGATGAGTTTGATGGTCTTTGTGATCCCTTTGGAGCATCATAGGTGTTGCAAAACTGGTAGCCATTATTCTTGCTACTTTGTAATTTGCACAGGGAAATATGCCCCCCCCCCCGAACTCTTTTCTGTTCCTGATATACCATTCTCTACAAGGTGAGGCTGGACAATATTAAACTGGTTAAATTAAATTTATATTAAATTTATCTGTTTTGCCAGTTTCTGCTTCTCTAGGCATTTTGAATTAGAATGGGTGTTTGTGTATGTGTGTATATATATAAAAAAGTAACAAAAGTTAGTATGTTACCTGTTAGCACCTGTTTTAAAGGAGGAAGACGTTAGTGGTCTTTTTTAAAAGTAGGAGGAATATAATGTATAATGATATAATAAGAACAAATAATAATGAAGTAGAAGTAATATTGTTGTATGTGATGTGAAATTGTGACTGGGTCAAACTGTGCCTTTATTATTAAGGTCTTAGTTGTCTGCTCTGTACTGTATCATCACCCATGCTGGTGATAATTTTTTTTAATTTTTTTTTTTTTTTGCTACTTTAGTTCAGGTGTGTGTCTGCGTTTGTTTGAGGGTAGCTAATCCATAGCAGAGAGACTTTGGCAGTGGCTGGTCAGTGGAAGAACAATGCAGTTTTGTCAGTAACCCATTTCTCTAAAATTATATGGCTCTATGGTATTTGAAATGTCATCTTACTGTAGAAGGCAATTTCTGCTTTAGAGTTCTGCGAGGGCTGACAAATTACCCAAGTTTTTTGTCGTTCTGGCAGTTGAAAGGTGGGAATGTGTGCAGCCCCATTCTTTGACAAAAAGTAAATGCTAACCTGGTCTGTTGAAGCTCCATCTAAGTGGGCAGAGAGAGGTGATTCTGCTCTGCTGTGGGGAATCTGGTCTGAAATCAGCAGAGCTCATGGGCAGGGCATCTCCCACCCTCCGGTCCTGGAGATGTGGGGGCAGGAGACATAGCTGGGCACAGGAAGGGAGATCATTCTTCTTGGCAACAGCAAGCTGGAGATTGGCTTGACCCATCTCATCAACTTGCACTCTAATTTGGGTACTCTGAGTCACCTTTGGAAGAGCCTACTTATGTCTGATAATTATTCTGGAAGCTTAAGGAGGCTGTACATCTAAATTACATACCTAAAGTTAGACCCAGTAAGTACTCCCCACTGATAGTCAAATAGTTCCTGCTTTTTTTTTTGACCTTGTTTTTTTCTTTTTTGGCCTTTTTCTTTTTTTTTGTCCCTTTTTTTTTTTTTTTTTTTAAACTGATACAGAGCTTTTAAAGCAGTGACTGATGTAGTTGAATGCGGTGGTCATTGGCTTGCAGTTTGATACTCAGCACAAATTTGAACATTAGTATAATGTTATTAACATATCTGAAATAGACTACTTTAATATCAGAGATTTTTGAAGAATCAGTAACTTCTCTGTTTTGCTTTTTAGTTCCAAATTTTTGGAAGCAAAAATGTAATCTGGGAATTTACTGAAAAATATTAAGCGTGATTAAAATTCCCCTCCCCTGAGTTCATCTTCTGTGTTGGTTTTGGTTTTTTGTTTGGTTGGGTTTTTTCCAAATAGTAGCTTTAAAGTTTCTGTAAATGTCTTTTATCTATCTATCTATCTATCTATCTATCTATCTATCTATCTATCTATCTCACAAAATGCTACTTAACTTAAGGATAACATGTACCCTGGTAAACATAACATGTTAGAACTTGTTATTTTATTTCAGATATACAGACTACATGTAACTGTATTTAAAATGTTTCAAAATCACTTTTTTAAGAGTTAATAACTACTCCTTGTTTTCTACAAATGCATTTTGCAGTAACTACTGTTACTTTGAGCAGTTTGATGGCTTGATGCTGGGTCTGTGGATGAATGAATTTGGCGGCAGCTGGGAAGTAGAAAAGCCTGCAAATGGTCAGTGCTTAAGCGGGTCTGCAGAGGAACTTGTGACAGCATGTACCTGTATCTGCATTATACTGTGTATAGCATATATGTACCAGCAAATGATGTATCTATGTATCACAGTTCTGATGACCCTATTTAATTATTGCTCTAATTACTACGATGGGTTATGTCTTTGCAGGCACAACTAGTTGATCTGAAGTCTGAACTGACGGAGACGCAGGCAGAGAAAGCGGTGTTGGAAAAGGAAGTGCATGATCAGCTTTTGCAACTCCACGCTGTTCAACTTCAGCTACATGCCAAAACTGGTCAGAGTGTTGATTCTGGGGCTATTAAGGCAAAGCTGGTGAGTATGGTGACTTGAATGGAGGATTGTTTTATACATGCTTTCTCCTGGCTGAAGTTCTTCCTTGGAAGGTGTGAATAAGTTGGCTACAAGTTTTCACATTAAAAATGATAGAGTTAACTTTCTCTTTTTTTGAGAACATTTAAGGTTGTTAGCAACCATTAAAATAACATAAGTAACATCAGAATAACGAATAAGAGTTTAAGGAGTTGTTTTTTGCATAAACAGTTTTTTAGTGGTTTCTTAAAATAGAATAAGAAAATAATTTGGTGGCTTATAAAGCTTTTCTGGAGACAGAAGTTGCGAAAGATACTAATATACAAATACAATCAAATCTTCATGTATCTTAAAAAAACCTAAAGTGAGAGAAGCCTATTGTTTTTATTGTAGTTATACTCTGATAAGAGTAAGAATGGGATTGCTTTGCCATACAGAAAGAATAGATTGCATCACAGTCGTCTCTGTATTGTCATTCTTTAAGAATGCTGCGGATGCAGCTACAATGCTGTCCATTGCTACATGCAGCAGACAGTCATAAAAGAACTCAATAAAGCACCGATAATTTTGTATGATATGTTTTTAGAAACTTAGACCTTTACAAGGTCTGCCAAAAGTTAACAATAGTTTGTGCAATTAGTTGGCATTGACTGATAACCAGAGTGTAGTCTGCCTTGCTACTGGCTGCAGCACAGATTCAAGCTCTGATACTGAGGCTTTGTAAATTAGAAAAGTAATGTTGTATCGATTGTGGTTTCTGTTGGCATAAAGCAAAGCCTCGCTCTCTGGCTGTTTTAAAAAAATGCTTCTCAGGTTGGTTGCAAATACCTAGTCCCAGCATGTGTGCAACATTAGATTAGTCACTTCTACTATTATGTTCTGTTAAGTAATGTATAATAAAACACAGTAATAGGCTATAAGGCTTAAAGACTATCTAGGCTAATCACTGAATAAAAGGAGTAACCCAAATTCTTCCTGTTTCTGATCTAAAAGCTGTTATTGAATTAGATCTATGTTTCTAGGTCTACAAACTTGTGTATTCAGTAAAAGAGTAACATTTTTCTGGATTGTCTGCATATAATTTTTTACGTATTGAATTAGAATTTAAGAATGATGAAGTTTCTTCAGAGCTGTTAATAATTTTCATAGCTCTGTAAAAAAGCATTAGTTAGTTATCACCATCATTTTGTAAGTGTTAGGCTGCAGGTTTACATGTAGCAAAGTTTTTAAGCCAAGCTGAGTCATTTTGGTCCCAAAATTTTATTAGTGAGGCATAACTTCTGAGAGACACAGAGAGTAATACTTTGAACATTTTTGTTTCCCCTTGCCTTTTTATGAACAATTTCTGAAGATACATTATATCTTCATGCTTTTGACAGCAGTTTTTTCCCCACAGGTTACAACAAATACATTTTTGCTTGCACTGTTTCAGATTTTATCTGTGTTGAAATTGAATTTATTAACAGCCTGAACTGATATTCTTTCCTTAATTCCAGTTAGTTCCTCCTTTGTCATAAACATCAGGGTTAATCTTTTGAGTTTGTTTTACCTTGCCTTTAGAGATTTCATAGCTCTAATGGAGAGAAACTCACTTTTATCTGTTCCAAATACAGAAGGCTCTGAAAGCCCGGGCAGCTTGAACAGGCAAAACGGAAGTTGCTTAAATGACATTAAAATGAGAAATCTGAGTTGTAGGTAAATAAAAACTATCATGCTGACCTGCTGGCAGTCAGAAAGCCTCTGGGGGCAAAGAGGGACAGTGTCAACATGATATGCGATGGGGAAATGAAGTTCTGCACGAGTTAATTTCCTGCTTGCTTTGGTAATGACAACCACTCTTGTTTGTACACTCAGCATAAATGGATACTCTGCAAACTGTATAACTGTACATAGTGGTCAACTAAGACATTTTTAAATGATTGAAATTGCTAAGCAGTTGATGACATCATGGAGTTCAGGCTGAATCCCTTTTTAGGAGTGGTTTATCTGCTTAGTACAGGCACTCTGTAAGAGTATGAAGTTTCCTAGTGAAATTTTTATTCTTGAGTGCTGCAGTTGATATATCTTTTTTGCTACTTCTCCCTGTCCTTTTTATCTCTCTTGTAATGCATATTTTGTTACTCTTTCTGAAAGGAAAAAATAAAAAATTATGTATAAGAGATGCCATGTTACATAATATATTTTCTGTGATACTTTCAAAGCTGCTTTAATGCATTTCACATTATCTTGCTATTCTTTATAGAGATCCTTGGTATTTTACGAGAAAGTACTGTTTAAATACTACAATAAGGTTAAAATTTTTAGTGCAATTTTTAATAACTTTAACTGCAAAATACCAGAATTGCTGTGAAGTACAATTACAGAAATGTGCTTGTTCTTTATGCCTTCTAATGGAATACACAATCTGCTGGTAAATTTCTTTTGGAATAAGTAATTTATGTTGTTGCATTTTCTTGAAGTTCCTATTACCTGTTTCTCTAATTATGGAACTCTTTTCTTCTGTCTTAAGTCTGTCCTTTCTGTGGATGAAATGGTAAGTATGTTGATTGCCTTTTATTTTATGTTTAAGCAGTGCTTTTGTTTTGTGCAACAACTTCTAAATGTGGCGTCAGAAACTGGCAAAACAGATCTGGCTTTTTCCTTCTACCTCTCTGTTGGCAAGATCTTGTGTAAAGGATTTTCTTTGCATTTTAGTTTTCCTTTCCTCGTTTTGGCGCCCTCTGTGTTTTATTTATGATTGTTACAGCTAATTTGAGGTGATATCTGACAACTAGATATTCTGAAAGTTTGTTCTGGCAGTATCTCAAAAATTTTTAATGTCTTACACAATTTCTAAAGCATAAACACGGTACGCATCTGTCAGTGTAATATGAAGTATTTTACATATTGTATTTTTTAAAAATTCTGTCCATTTTCCTTATTTTCTGTTTTCTCAGTTCTTTTTTATGGGCATGATTTAATATGATTTACTGGCTTGTGTGTTAGCCTACAGCATGCAAGCTCAGTAATACATAGTTAAGAAGAAACAGTGGTGCAAAGTTAACTTTCATCGTCTTTCATGGTGATAGACTTGAAAGGTTTTAAAACAGCTTTTCCACTTTTATTACATTATATACCTCATTATCATTGCTCGGTATTTGCTCTTTGAAAAGTCACAGAATAGCTGGTAACTGTGAGCTTTGATCTTCAACGAACGTTGCAGATGCATTTTCAGTTCAGTGTTTTTTTATATTACTTACAGAAAACAGTTTTTTTTTCTGTGTTGCAGAACCTCTACGATACTATGAACACTAGAAAGCATTAAATAGTTCTGTAACTTCCTCACTTTTTAGAAGACTTTTAAAGCCCTACCACACTTCATGACAGTCGGTCAAAAAAAGACATGTTCTTTCAGTACGTCTTCAGATATTTTGTATTGCAGACCTTTGACTTTTCTGTCAGTTGGGGACAGTCCGGAGCATTGCTAAGAATGGCTTCTGGGTATAATTTTCTACCTCAGTCACAGAGTAGTAGTCATAGTAATGCAGAAAGTAGGAAAAAACAATTATATGGAGTTACATTGTTCCTCATACTTTAGGTATAACATTTAAAATGCATGACTAAAAGAAATATAACATTTGACTTTCTGTTTAAATTTAAATGATGAATCAAATTAAGAGAAAATAAATGGAAAATTTTAGTCTTGACAAGAGTTTTTAAGCTAGCTACTTAGTATAAATACAGTAAAGTGTGCTATATGGAATTTGCTAGGGTAAGCAAATATCTTGAATCACTTTAGCAAATCACTTTTCTGGGGAAGGTTGGAATTTTTCTCCCAAGGTGTATTTTGGATACACCAAGGAACTTGTACATCTCTAAAGCTTTTTTCTGAATAGAAAACAGGACTGGTACATTCTGACAAATTCTTGGCAAAGATATTATGAATTTTTAGTTTGACTTTTTATTCAGTAGGTAAATCATTAAATTATCCAGTGAGGAAGAAAATGGAGGTTTGGATATGAATAATAAACCTTCATGTCTTTCAAATTCCAATCTGTCTCTTTATATTTGTCAAATAAAAGATGTTCTAAAAGTGAGTGCATGTACAAATGGGGGGCCTGTGCTACATAGAGCAGTATTGGCAGTATGTACACAGCTAACATTAGTGTTACAAGAACACTGTGCCTGTATATAGACTCTCCAGCTGCTGTAAAAGTAGTGTTATGTCTGAACTGTGACCCTTCTTAAAGCCAAATTGCATGGCAGAAGCACTGCAGCGTGTTGGCACTCCTGAATTCTTGTATTTGCCCTTGGCTACTGACAGTAGATGTGAATTAAAATAGCCCAAGGCCATCATAATAATAGTGAGAATTGGCATTATTTTAGTAACTCGTATTCTTTGAATGTAGATTAGCCAAAATTCTTGGTTTAGGAGTGATCCTGTGGTTCAGAAAGAGATTTGTTGAAGAGTCATCCCACAAGACAGCTCCCAGAAGAGGCTTTGTGTGACAGGTTTTCTAACGTGCACGTGGAGTCAAACCTGATCTGAAACTGGGTCAATATGGGAATTACAGGAGGCGAAATGCCAGTGATTTCAAGCAGTCTTTTTGCTACTCCTGAGCAGTATGCTGGATAATTCTTGGCCACTATGCATATACATGTGACATACTCCATTTATTTCACCCAATACAGAGTTGTCTTTCTGGCAAATAGCTATAAATGCCTACATAAACTTACTGTGAAAATACCTCTCTTTAGAAGGACCAACCTTGCTTAATGTATCTCAAATGTGGTAATGTCAGCCATATTCATGGTTTTATATCCAGGCTTGGAATAGTGATTAAGCATTTTGACAATTTGGTAACAGATTTGTCTTGCCAGTTCTGTAGAATTTTGGTTTTGTCGTATTGCTTCTTTAGTAGCACCTTCTGGTTTTATTTGTTTAATAATGTAATTGGTAGAAGTACAATGAAAACTTCTAAATGTCTTGAAAAATGTGTTATCGTGAACTTAGCTTTTGTTACTATTTCAGTTTACATTTTTAAAAGGAAGCAGTAATAGATCTTGTATCTCTACTATTTTCCTGGTTTGTGGTGGGTTTTCTTCTCATTTTGTAAAAGGGATATAAAAATAGATACAAAATACACAAGTAATTAAAGGTGCTCTTCTTAAAGTAGATTTTGTAGAATAGCAATCTGAGTTGACCTTACTAATTCCTTTGACTCCAGTACTCTGGGTATTAGAAAAGATGACTGTGCATTTTCTCTACATTTGAGAATGGACCACAATGGAAATAATTTGTATTTCCATAATTCCTTTTTCGTGGGAGCGAGGGCAGGTACATTTCTTAGAGTGGTTTTTATGTGGTTTTTGTTTGTTTGATTATTTTTTTTAACAAAGCTATTTTGCACTAACTTATCTTAAGTTTTGTCAGGGTAGGCATCTTCATGTGTAGAAACTCTGGCTTTATTTTTGTGGTCTTCAGAGTCTGATTTGGAAATGTCCTTGGCTGGACATTTCTTGGTTGTTTGCATGAAAAGACTTACCATTTTAAGGATATGTAGACTTAGAAAACATTTCCTTGACATCTAATCATATTAAAAATCATATTAAAATAGTTAAAGAATATATAAAATAGAAATATTTATTGATTTTCATTTTTACAATAATCTTTAATTGTATCAATCTTCTGTTTGAACACAGGAAAAAAATAAGGATGATATTAAGGCGACTTAAATTCTGCCACTTACGTGTGACAGAGAGAAGCACTGTTGCTAGTTTCAGTCCTTGGACTTTGAACTAGTATATGCATTTTGTGCTAAGGAGTTGTAAGGTGAATAAAAACTCTGTCAGGAGCACAAAGTTGAATCCCAGAGAGGAGTATGCAAACCACTAGCTGCAGTGCCAGAGTCCTTGCTTTTATATTTTTCCTGCATGTGTATCCTGTACACAGGAGAGTCACTTCACACTGTGTGCGCAAAAGCAGTAAGTGCTCTTTCATTATCAACTTTGATAAAACCTTTCAACTTTTTTATTATTATTTTTTTAATAAGGAGAGAGAACTTGAAGCTAACAAGAAAGAGAAAGTGAAAGAAGCTCAACTGGAAGCTGAGGTGAAGTTGCTGAGAAAGGAAAATGAAGCTCTTCGTCGACACATCGCTGTGCTTCAGGCTGAGGTTTATGGAGCAAGATTGGCAGCCAAGTATTTAGATAAGGAACTAGCTGGAAGGTATGTAAAGTCAATCTGTGTCCCATAGCATGAGGTGGTTTGTGTAGTTTTCTTCCTTTGCATCCCTAAGGGCAGGTCTAAAGTTAAGACTAAGCAGGTAAAGTGTCACGTTTGCAGTTAACTGAACAAAAGGAAGAAACAAAAAATCCCTGCAGTTTTTGCACTTGCTGTAGTTGCTGCGTGACTGTGCTGTATCCAGACGAAGTCTATGAGTTGTACAATGCACTGATTTTTCAGTTGTAATATAGCATGTTGTTTTACTCTTTTTGTCATTATGTAGGGTCCAGCAGATTCAGTTACTGGGCCGCGATATGAAGGGACCTGCTCATGACAAGCTCTGGAATCAGCTTGAAGCAGAAATCCACCTTCACCGTCACAAAACAGTTATTAGAGCTTGTCGGGGTCGGAATGATCTAAAGCGACCAATGCAAGCACCACCAGGACATGTAAGTGGAAAAGATCAGCCATTCCTCTATAATTTCCAGCATTGGTGGAAAACAGTTATGAGTTATTTCTTCTTTTTTTGTGTTTTTTTTTTTAACTTCAATATTGTGTTCTTTCAAATGTCACTTTTAAATATATAATTCTTTTGTATGCTGAAGGACAGTTCCACGCTGAATAGCACATCCCCAGAAATGACCCATGAAAGATGATACAATTCCTTTGACTTACCTAGGAACACCCAGTCCTTTTGAAAACTGAGCTTTTGCTGTGTGTATGTATAAATATTAGTTTAACAGTGTAATTTGTTACCTGGGTTTCAAAATGTGGAGCTAACTTATTTACAAAAAACAACTAGAATAACACTTTTAGGAATAGACTGAACTTATAATAAAAATAAACTTGAATAAACTTCTTCCTTGGAACTGTATGACATCATCTTCTACCATTTGATTATTTTGAAATTTTGGTTTACATAATAGAACTTTTTGGCAGTTATCAGCGTTCCTTCATGTTGTCCCTTATATTTTTACTATGTGTCTGATTTTGTTCCTTTGAAGTTAAGTTTAGTATTGTATATCACTCAGCACTGACACAATTGAAATAATTATTCTAATCAGGAGTGCATTGAACTCCGTGATCTTAAAGGTCTTTTTCCAACCCAAGTGACTCTATGATTCTGTGATTTCATACCCTGTCTGTAAAGGGGCTCTGCAAGTTTGCCTACCTGGAGCTAGTCTAAAACTGATGCTGGTATACTGCTTATATACAATTTAAAAAAAACCCAAAACCAAACAAAATGGAAATGCAGAAAAGCATCATGTTTTGACTTGCACATTTATATTTATACTGTGTTTGTTTTCTGTCAAACTAGGATCCTGATGCCTTAAAGAAGAGTCAAGGCGTTGGTCCAATCAGAAAAGTTTTGCTAGTTAAAGAAGACCATGAAGGACTAGGAATTTCAATCACAGTAAATACTTGCATTTATTTTCATGACACAGAAACAGCAATTTAAATTTGTATCTGTACTTCTGTAAAATATGTGAATTGGTGAATGTATTGTTAGAACATATGAAAAAAAAACATACGCAAATTCATATTTATGGTCATAGAACTTGAAGAGTCATTTTGATAGATCAGGAAATAGGTAACTGCTACTTTATGTAAAACTTAAGATTTCAACTTATGTTTAGGGTATAGACACTTCAGCAGATTAGCCAGTGGTGAATTTCAGGTGTGATAAGCCTGCTGAAAACAGAAACAATTTGGGAATGAACTTCCAAAGCTAAGCTGTTGCGATTGTAACTTTTTTAAAGTATCGGTATTGGCATCTCACACCTAACAAAAGCTGTATTAATTTTATACAACAAATTTTGAAAATTCTGACTATTATACTTTGATTCTAAATATTAATATTGTTTCATGCAAATCAAGATGTTGCCTGATAAGCTTTTTTTAATGAGGCTTTGATGTTGTCTCATCAGCTTGTATATGATTCTATACTTTTATTATTATTCAGAATTGTTTCCTTTGACTCTTTGAGTATATATTTGAAATCTGTCCATTCTTTTGTGGGGAGAAGAATTAAGGGAAGAATCTCATGTATTCAGATTTATTTTTTTTTTTAATAGGGTGGGAAGGAGCATGGCGTTCCAATACTGATCTCTGAAATACATCCTGGACAGCCTGCTGATCGGTGTGGAGGACTGCATGTTGGTGATGCTATTCTGGCAGTAAATGGAGTTAATCTAAGAGATGCAAAACATAAAGAAGCTGTAACTATTCTTTCCCAACAGGTCAGTTGGGACCTAGTATACTTAGGCACATTTTGGTGCTTCCTGTGTTCTGCCTGTTGAATTACCTTGAATTGTAAAGTTTTCTGTTAAGCGTTATGCTAAGCTACAGCAATTCCTGAAGCTGTATCACCTTACACTTTAATCCTCTTATGTCTTGCAATTTAAGGAGAAAAATGCTGAGTCAGTACTGGCTCAGTTAAACCCATGTATTGGCTAATGAACCTTCAGTAAGGCTGATGGAAATCTTCTCGTTACATTGCCCCACAGAAATAATTATTTAGTGACATATGTTTTATTCTTTTGTGTCTGGACAGCTCCAGCCAAACAATACTTCTCATACTTTGTGGTCTAGAATCTTCTTCCTGCCTTCCTTCCCATTTTCAGACAGTTAATAGGTACACTTAATTTATCAGAAAACTTGTTAGAAGTCACTGTTTGAAATGTATTGGCTCATAACTAAGAACTTCGGGTAACCTTCTTAAATCTTAGCTATAGAGCTGTACCTCTTTAGTCAGTAAAAACTTAATTTGGATACATATCCAAAGTATTCAGTGCAACTATAAATGCATTTACAACAGTAAAATGTATTTGTTTCAGTAACCTAGTTCATCTCAGTAATCCTATACATAGCTGTGCAGTAGTAAGTAAATGTGTAATTTTTGTTGCATTTTAGAGAGGCGAGATTGAATTTGAAGTAGTGTATGTTGCTCCAGAAGTTGATTCAGATGATGAAAATGTAGAATATGAGGATGAGAGTGGACACCGTTATCGTTTATATCTTGATGAATTGGAAGAAGGTGCAAATTCAAATTCTAATAGGAAAGAGGCAAACGTGGATGTTAAACCCTCACAAGGTAAGCTTTCTGAAATGTGTTACGTGCAGTTTAATTCTGAAGTCTCCATATGCGAACCAATTTCTGGAAAACAGTTCTTATATTCATTGTAAAATTAATCTACTGTTACTTCAGTTAACCTGCTAGTCAGCTCTCAGCTCTTTTGGTTGGTCCCTCACTTATTGGCCTGGTTTACTTACAGACAACTGGATTAACTGAATTAATTTGTGCGGTTTTTTTGTGATCACCTTTTCCCTAAGGTTGAAATTCAAATTTATTCTTATCTTTTCTTGACTCTGGTCAAGGAGTAGTTAATTCCCCTTAACACTTTATGCTGTTGGCTTCTTCAAATGCATTTTTTTAGAGAAGAGAGGTATAGAAACAGTTCCCATGTTCCTGTCATACTTTGTTCTGCGAAAAGCCTATTAGCTCTTATTTTAGTTGTCATTTCAGCACGCTTTCCAATTTCTGAAACAAGGCTCACTGATCTGTCCTTCCCAAGTTTACTTCTCTTCCTTAAATAAAATTTCTTTTTAACTTGCAGTGTTTGATAAGAAACCAAGTATTGATGGACATGAAAATGGAGACCTGGGGAATTCAGTTGAAGCTCCGTTAGAAGACACTGCACCCAAATTAGCCCGTTCTGCTGAGTCTTTATCCTAAAATCAAACAAAAAAATCAACTGGACATATCCCATCTTTGGGAACAATCGATAATCAATTTGACTGCTCCAAGTTGCATATACGAGTGTAGGTTGTAAAAGGTTGGTTAAATGTCAAAGGGAACTGTATTCCTGTGGCCTGGAAAAAAGGCGGTTACCTCAGGGCTTCATTGTGAGCAATTCTAAATGTGGAAAACTGTCTTTTACGTGACACAACGGTAGTTATCTAACACATAGCATGTGAAATGAATTTTCTTTTAATAATAAGCACCAAAGCATGGGATTTCTAAAAAGGATAACCTCAATACATTCAACTTTTAATCTCATTGATGTCCCCAAGGAAGTAGAAAAAGATGTAGCCAGCTTCATTTTGACCCTTTGATGTTTTAAAGAGACAACCTATGTTCAGTTTGGTGTGAAAACAGGCTTTAACTCTAGAAGGATGAGGCAGGGAATTGTGCCATTGCATCCATGAGTTTTGTACTTAGGATTTTTGAATTGTAACTTTTAAAAGAAAGCTTTCTTTTTTCCTCAGAAAATTAAAACTCAGAGCTATTATTCGAGCAGAGACCATCAAAACCCAAATGAGACAGTGAAGTACTTGCTAATCGTGATGCTTCAGCCTATAATCATTTTATGAGAGATTTTTAGCACTCTTGTTTTAATAAATTCACTGCCAATTGTTCCATTTGAAACTTGCTCCAAAAGTATTTAAACAGAGTATTATGGGATTTTAAAAGCAAAATGAGTTTAAAAAATATTCACAATTATGTGAGCCCTTTGGTATTTTTTTTTCTGAGCATCATCAACTTTTGTGTTCATTCTTGAATGGATATGGTTACTGCTAATGTGTAGTGGTTTGAGCTGGCCGTTGTTACCTTGACCTTATGAAATGCTGAGTGCTTTTGAAGGGTACTGAACATACTAATTTCACATTTAAAATAATTTTTAAATAAGTTAAACTTGAGTGCACAGTACTTTACCGGAGGTGCTCAGAATCATATGGTGTCTGGTCCTATCTGTGTTATGTTACGGCAGTTGTATTAACCTATAATTGTCTTACTGTTGAAACAAAATGTTACTCCTTTTGTAAGAGCAGTGTATGTTAAAATAACTTTTAACTGGTGTACGTCTAAAGGCCCACAGCATAGCTGCAAATGGGAACGTTGAGGATGGTTTCTTGGCCAATTTCTCATACTCCATTTGTAGATCATTTGGTGAAGTGCAGCACTCTCCACGTGCAAGCTCTCCATTGTAATCACATTTATTATTTCAGCATGCAATGCCAGCTTTCCTGTTCACTGCTCTGCAGGCTGTTGAACTGTAATGTGAAAAGATAAGATTTTGTACATTGGGAGAGGAACTAGTGTGAAAAGACATCTTTGCAAGTGTTACTGTGTAGGATGTGCATACATAAGAAAAGACCTCAAAGGCCTTTAGAGTAACATCAACTAATCTTACATTCTAAATTATGATGTAGAACACAATTACTTGTCTCTACTAGGAGCACTATATATATGTTTATAGAGAAAGCCTAAAAATGTATATACTTTATTCAGAGATTTTGCTATTTATAAATCCCTTAACTTTGCTATTTACATGATCATTTTGTGTGTGTGTGTGCGTGTGCGCATGAGTTCCACTTAGTGGAATAACATTATTTGGTTCATTTTTTTATAATGATCCTTTTCATGCAGCATACAGTTAAAGGTTTTTAAAATAGTCCAAGCTGTACAGTTTTCACCAAACAGAAACTAGTATTTAAAAATAAAGCTGTGTGAAGAAGAAACAAGTCCCCAGGCATGTTTCTTTTTCTGAAGCTTGAGAAACTTGAGGACACATTGGCTTTTGTGTTAGCAGAGAAATCTACTGCCATAACTTTGCATTCAGATTTGCGTTCTTCTGACAGCTACTCAAGCAGAGTGCACTCTGAAACTGTCTGTGGCCTGGACACTCAATGTCCTCTCTGTTGGAGAGGAGAGTTCAAAGCCAAGTAGTGATGATCTTGTCTTTGAAAATCATTGCTGTATGAAATCTTGCTGCAATTTTACGGAATGAGGCTTGTCCAACTAGTATAGTAACTCTTTAAAAAGGCGTTAGATTTGCCTGTAGAGTTTCCCTTTATTTGAGGGAAAGGTGAATTTTTTAATTTATTCTTTGTTCCTTACTTCTTGGCACATCTTATTTTCCTCTTAGTGCTTTTCATCAGTTGTAGCCTGAAGTGGGAGAATGTTTCTAGAGTTACTTTTCAAACATTCCATGTTCACCAGTTCCTCATGATGCTGTGCTCTTTTATTCATCTTCTGGAAGTTGCTGGACCCTTCCTCTGCTCTTACCTTGTCTGTTTTTAGCCTATATATGAGATCAGCAAAAGGAACAATTACTGAGGAAAATGACTAGGGGTAGACAAATCAGGTAGCAGTAAATTATCTCCAGATTTCCTTCCCTGCAGTTTTTATAATCTTTGTTTAGAAGGCCCTGAATGGCAGGGTTTTGCTCAGACACTACAAGTCTGTCTCCATGTACTCTATACGTCCTACCAGCTGATTTAACGTACTGGCTTCTCATAGTCATACTGAGATGCTTAGAGAGTAATATTTAAACTGAGAAAAGTTTTGCAAGTTGGGATTTCCAGATTCAGTAGACAACTGTGTGCTCTCCCCATTGTCAGTAACTGGAAGACTCAGTCCTGCTGATTCCCAGAGGTTGAATGAATTAGACTTGGAAGAATTTCCAAGGAAAGTCAGTATTCAGACTTCATTTTTATTTTTTGAAGTGTAAAACAGTTTACTTGTATGTGTATATATATTTTTACTTTAAAAAATAAAATAATATTCTAAAGATAATTTTGCTGTTTTTTTGAGTAGATAATTCCTTGCCTATTAAAAAAGTCTTCAGTGAGACAACTGTATTTTAAGCTGAAGGTGGACCGTGTGTGGTGGCATTTGGGACCAATGTTAAGTAAGAGCATGTAAGTTAAGGAGAGTGCTTTATGGCAATAAATTTAACTCGTTCCAGTATAAATTGGGGAATGACCTATT